TCAATTTTAATGTCAATTATTTGATTTGTAGGTGCGTTGCATTGTTTCGGTAGGTTCCTGATTCGGATTGGGCGGGAGGAAACGCCCGGATGTCATCACTGCGAGGACCGCCTGGAGGATACGGTGGATCATACGGTGGTGGTGTGTCCTGCGTGGGCTGAGCACCGTCGTGTCCTCAGGGATGTGATCGGCGACGGCAACCTCTCGCGTCCGGCTCTGGTTCAGATCATGGTACGTAGCGAGGGGGACTGGAATGCCGTCTCCTCTTTCTTCGAAGCAGTCATGCTAGCTAAGGAGGAGGTGGGGCGCGTGAGGAAACGAACCTCCTCACGCCCCAGCCGTTGCAAAAGATACTCCGGGCGTTGGGGATCGTGAGACGATCTCCGGCCACCGTAAGCACGGGCCTGCGGACGGCAAGCACGGGTAACTCGCCGTTCGACCAGAACCAGGCCCGAGCGTACGGCGCGTCGCGTTCCGCGCGCCCCTCAAGGAGCCATCAGACCATCATAGATGGGGCGCAATAGGGCTGTTGCCGATACGGAGCCGCGGAGAACCTAACGGGTTACCGGGGCTCCGGCTCGAAGTGCAGGAGTAGGAACCCATGAACGACTACTTATACACGTACGTTACGTACTTTTGACAATCTTAAAAAATGGCGGACTTAATCTATTCATAAGTTTAGTTTGATATCTGCTGGATAGGAATGTCTCATTGGCCGAGTGGTCGCAAGTGCGACTGCCGGGCAAGGGGTCTCGGGTTCGATTCCCGGGTCGGGCAAAGTATTACTGGGTTTTTTAAAAATCCCAGTAGTAGCACGGAGTATGGAATAGTGCCCAGTATATGGCAATAGGCTCACCTCCTATTACATGGGACTCATAACATAAATAGTGAAAAGTGGGTGTTACATTGTACAGTGGCATTAAGGTGAGAGTCAAAATGGCGTTTCAAAGTCGTTGAGAGTCAAAATCGTTTGCAATATAGTGAGTGTACCTACTCTGTAGGGTGTAGGTTTATCAGTAATTATTTATAATAATTATAATGGCCCTATCGAGTACCTACCTATGTAGCTCGTCTTATTCCCAGCGCCACTTTCGGCGGCCGTGTATGAGGCCGCGATGTGGCGACAAAGAAATACAAATATTCATTGGGGGTTTCGTGTTTTTTTAATTTCAGTTTTTTAGGACTTCATGTACTATGAAGGTACAAATTTTTGGTGTATTTATTTTTAATAAGTAGTGTGGTTAAATAATAAAATATCGTAGTACACCCGCCATCTTGACGTCAATATGGCGGGTGTACTTTTAATGTCGTAATAACATCATTCCAAAGAAAGTACAATTTTTTAAACCTAGGTACAATTTTTTAATAGTACATTTTAGGTAATTCTTTTTGATATCTGGTAGAATTTGCTTCGTTATCAATTATACATATATACATATGTATAACTATATTATTTAATAATTACCATTACTTTTTCCTCTCTCTCTCTCTCTCTCTCTCTCTCTCTCTCTCTCTCTCTCTTTGTTGTTAGTTTATTCTCCGTACCTCAGTTTTCGCAGATTTTCCACTTAAACCCTAAGGTTGACTGGTAGAGAATGCCATATGGCATTAAGTTCGCCTTATGTACCATAAACAAATTAAGTACATTAAAGAATAAATAAATAAATAAATAATCATACACCCGCCATTTTGACTTTCACGCATTAAGTGCCGTAATGTGCCTACCCCTTCGGGGAAGAAAGGCGTTATGTTACGGAGTTCAACACTTGGGACTCATACAAGCACGTATTTATAAACAAATAAATAATCTTGCACGGCGTCACAAGATGAATGAAGGTGATGTGCACATCTCGTCAGTTTGATGTCCAGCTCAAGCAGTGAGGTCAGTCTCAGTACTTATTGCAGTGTGTAAATACCGAAGCAATGAGGTTCATTGTGAGGGCCTGTTTCACAATATCTGGATCATAATTTTGAATTAAGAACGTAATTTGTATGAACTATCTATCACATAAGTTTGTCAGGTACATACATAGAGGTAGTGAAATCAGTGCTAAATGTTCGAAATATGAAATGGTTCGAAATTAGAACTTGCCCCAGAATTTAAATTCTTACCTCTGCAAATTCTGAGATATTTCAGCCCCTTTCTCCCTGCACCTTCGAATTATATTGAGAGATTGACGCCGATAAGTTCCAATTATCGAGACGATGATGTTTTATAAGAAACAATGAATATTTTTGTGCCACCCCTGTATATTGCACCCGTATAATTAGCGAAATTTATTCTGATTGATCTGATGGTTCTTAAAAATATATTAAACAGATAACAAAATAAGTATTCTAATTCACCACTGGTTACAATAGAATATCAATTTTATAGGACCCATTAAACATAACAAGAAGCACCATTCTAATGTTAGCAACGTGAAGGAAATGCATATGTCTTGACCAAGCATTGGTTTGATAAGGATGTTATAATTGTGTATGTATGTATGTGTGTTTTAAAGGTTACAATCATTGTTACAGGTGTGTGTCTTCTTATTCTTGGCGATCTTGGAGGGATTCCAATGTGAGTGCTCTAATGATGAACGTAATAAAAAAACACATCTTTTAACACTAAAAATGTCATGTTGCAGTCATATGATGATGGACCCAAGTTTATTTTATTTGAATGTATTTATGTTTGTGACTCTTGCACTGGCTGTCTTCTGAACACATCTGAGTGTTGGGCAGAGAGATAGATTATGCTCTGAAATAATATTAAAGACCACTTCTTGCCCTGCTACTGCTACTGCTACAAACAACAGATAATCATGATAGTTAGTGGGGGTGGCAGAGGTCTCTTTGGACAATTAATGCTATTATAATATGTGTTTTTATCATAACTATCGTGAGATATACTAAATTAACTAAAAATCGCGGGTTACTCACGTGAAAAAAGTTTCGAACCACAGAGGAGTTCTTCCTCGTGAGCTGAGTGCGCGGTAGCGGCGATGTCTCTGTGTTTCTCATTACTTTCACCTTTGAGTAACCCGCGTTTTTTAGTTTAATAAGATGTATGGATGTCGTCTGAGAATCAGAGTCATACTTAAACCGAGGACCAAGTCATGGCATTGTTACTTTAGCAGAACAAAAATGTTAATCGTGATGGACAGATACCTGTGGGCGGCGTTTCGTTCACCATTCCTGCCTGTTGAAATATCGTACCCAAATTTTCTCACACAAAAATAGTCTCTAATCATCGGAAATAAGGTCTATAATATAGTGGAGAGCGGCCACCGGTGACCGGTTGGGGATAAAAGGGCAGTTGCTGGACTATATATATATATATATATATACCCGCAGCTACAATACAACGTAGTTATCATAAGACTCAATATTGTCAGTCTCCAAATTATGGTAATAAAGTTTAATTCAACATTTAAATCCTGATTTTTATTTTGCACACACACATAGTCATTAACACTGCTTCTTCTCGAAAACACAGGCAGATGTGTCAGCAAATGATGAAGAAGTGTAATTGTTAAGGGAACTCTTCAACAGTATACAGTACGGATCTTGGTTGATTGCTTGATTAAATTGTATTGATGAGAATTTTGCATTTATGTGGATTATAAGTGGCATAACGGAACGTGTATGTAGCATTACACTAAAAATGGTAAAATAAAAAAACTGCGTTTCAAAAACCAAAAACGAATGACAAACAAAAAGTAAAACTAAAAAGCAAAAAATAACTATAATTAGTACTGATAGGTTACCCACCCACTGATAGGTTAGTAGAAGTGGGTGCCTTAAGGTTATATCAAAATGATATAACTGAATGGTCACTTATAGTATTAGGTAGGTATCTATTAGAGTTTTAATCGATAATTTTATTTAAAACTACTAATAACAGTTATTTTTTGCTTTTTAATTAGTTAGTCATTAGTTTTTGATTTTTTAAGTCGGTATTTTAAACGCAATTTTTATTTTTTGGTAAATATACAGTTAATATACTCACAATGAACTTCATCGTTGTACTCAGACTACAGACTAGCCTCACTGCTTGAACTGAGCGTCGAACTGAAGAGATGCGCGGATCACAATAATATATATATCTATGTATATATTTAAATAAAAATGAACCTGTTTCCCGTTATCACGCCATGACTTCAGAACGGCTGGACCGATTTGGCTGATTTTTTTTTTGTTGTGTTTGTTATTGTCAGGAGAAGGTTCTTACGACAGAAAAAATCCTACGGGAACGGAAGAAAACGGGACTGCGCGTACGAAATCGTGGGCAGAAGCTAGCATATCATAAATACTACACAAATTTACCTATAATTAGAGGCAGGTCGTCTTCATGTGATATCACGTTATAATATTTGTACTCGTTTATGCTATATGTTATACTAGCTGTTGCCAGCGACTTCGTGCGCGTCGAATAATGACTTATAGATTTAATGGCTAAAAAGATTTATACATATCGCATTCCCTATTTTATTGCCTTAGGGTTGGAATTTATCAAAATCCTTTCTTAGGAGATACCTATGTCATAGTAAGTTTATGCATGCAAGGTCTCAGTCCGATCGGTTTAAAACTGTCAAAGTTTCATACAAACTTTAATTTTTATTATTTTACCCCATTGGGGGTGGAAATGAATATTTCTTTCTTAGCGGATGTCTACGTCATAACATCTACCTGAATGCCAAATTTCAACCTGATCGGTTTAAAACTGACAAAGTTTCATACAAACTTTCATCCCCGTTTTTACCCCCTTGGGGGTGCCTTGGGGGCCTTGGGTATGTCTATGTCCTAACATCTATCTGTATGCCAAATTTTAGCCCAATCTATCCAGCGGTTCGGGCTGTGCGTTGATAGATCACTATGTCAGTCAGTCACCTTTGAATTATATATATATATATATATATATATATATATATATATGTTAATATTAGGTAATATAGATTTCCTATCATGTCTCCCAGTGAAGAATATCTAATAATATTTATTACTTTCTTGAGTAATACTTACTTTTCCATAAGCGTAGACACGAGTCCTTTGAGGATCTCCGTGCATTGTTGGTGGTACTCGAGAAGGCTCTCTGCAAAGAACGTGAGCTGTGCGACCTGCTCCACCTATGAACGTCACACAAGTCAGCATGAACCTTCCATCTATGCACCTCTAGACAATTCTTTAAAGGTTTGTAAAATAAAGGAGTTGTACTTACGTCATTATCGAGAAGGTTGAACATGCCGATCTGGGCCAGTTGTAGGGACTCGGCGAACTTCTCTTCCGCCTGTCGTATTTCATCGTCTGCAATATGAGCTCCTGATGTTTATGGACGCTTCACAAACGTACGACACATACATAGACACGCAGCATTACGTGTAAACCGATGATACGAAGTGAGTGAGATGTAAAAAATAAAATAAAAATAAAACCAAAAAGTGCATACAAACCAAACGACGCAAATAATACTCAGGGTATGAATGATGGTTAGGAGCGACGCAGACGGACGGGAACAAAAACATGGAAAAAAACGAGCGTACATTATAAGACTTGAATAAGTTCTAATGAGGCTCTCAATGACGTGTTAGCTTAGCACTACAGGGCTATAGTGTTTTAGTTTTAGCATTTATTCCACACCACGTACCCTGCCTTGGTGCGTTGTGACTTGGGCTCATGTAAGGGCTGGCCCTACCGGGGCCTGGCCAATACATTCGGAAAAAAAGAAAAAAGTAAAAACTTACAAAAATAGAAGAAAAACAAAAGTTGAAAGAGAAAAATAAATTGATTAAAAATGGGCAATATTTGGACTGTGTAAACAAATTGATGATAATCACCTTTAGCCTGTCTTCGCCGCTTGCAGTCAAAGTCCAACCGGCGTCCCTGTAGTTTCTTTCGGTGGTGCTGGAAACAAAAAATAAACATCAATTGGTACATTGGTACATTAGATGCATTTCACAAATGGTGAGATCAAAAATCAATACGCTACCCAAGATTCAAAGCTTTGGTATTTGTACAGCACATTTTGGGGTCAATTCAAACCACTTACTTTTCTAAAGAACTATAATTAGAAATTAGAATAAACAACTCTTACTCAAATTCACTGCGGTGCGGCGTAGCGTTTAAAGACTTAAGCCCTGACTTATCACGTAAAGAGACACTATAATATCCTTACCATGACTTCCTTAAGATCTTTGGTCTGCAAATGGTGAAGAGGTTCCAAGAAGTTTTGCTTGATGTTGTCGTCCAGTGAATACTTTACGTCAGCCATTTGCTTCAGAGCCTCGCCCATCTCGATGAGACAATTTGCTAAGAAGTTATCAAAAATAAAAATGTTAAATTAACTTAAAATAATATCTGTGTACCTCACATGAAGGATTTTAAAGTCCAAGTTTAAGTTTCTGTAATAGGATTAAAGAGGTTTGGTCTGCAGATTTAAACACAGATATTGTAATTAATTAGTAGGCATAACATAACACAACTTGCTTACTAGTGCTACAGGACCTGGGAAAGAACAATTAAAAGAACTGGCTAAAACAAAAACTAATATACGTACAAATAAATATCATAGCAACGTTTTCTCATGAGGTGACTACACTTATCTTGACTTTTCCAACATACACCGGATGATGGAAACCGATACAAATGCATTAAGGAATGAATCTCAAGGAATAGGCAAACCAAATCAAAATGTGTCAATCAGTTTAGGCATCATTATAGCGTATGTTGGTTGGGCTCCCGCCACTCCCGAAGGAGCGCGTTGCACCCGTCCACGCTGCGTGCACGTCGCGTGACTGCGAAACGATAGAATGGAACGGAAAATCTAATGATAAACGAAACAAAAAACGTCGGCGTCTGTACGATGCCACGTAGTGTTCCACGACCGCGCGACGTGCACGCGGCGTTCTGTGGTCGCACGCCGCGACAACGCCGCGCGGTCACGCCCGGCTAACGCCAGGGTGTGCGTCCCGGCATACCGTGTCCATCTGAATGACAAAGTTTGGTTCACCATCTTCGTAAAACTCTCAATTAATAATGCTTGTTTAATGGTACTTACAGAAGACGGTGTCCTCCCCAAGTTTCTTGCCGTAGAGCAGCATGCAATCGCCTAGCACGCCCTCTGGTTGAGGGTAGGTGTTGCTCTTAGCTTGCCCGCTCAGTTTGCTGATGCCCTTCACGGCAGCCATCTTTGCACGAGCCGTGGGGTTCGGCTGCAGGAACTCTTTCGTTTTTGTTTGTAACTCTTCCACTAGCTCGCAAGTGACGTCTGTTTTCTAAAACAAATAATAAATGTACAGTAATTGTGTGTAATGAAAGTAAGTACATCATAGTTTGCTAGCACAGAATCCATACAGAAATATCTGCATTAACGCATTTAGGTACTTATCTAGTTTTATTCACAAATCTTTATGAAGAAAATGGGTATCTCCAGTCTCCACACTTTTATTAGATTCGATTGTGAAATAAGATTTGAATTCATATTTCTGTGAGCGCCTCGCATCTGAAGCTTTATTGTGTTTCCATAAAAGCCAATAGTTACTGCTGTACTTACTCTTTCCATCTCCACAAAGTCCAAATCCAATTTTGTGCCCTCGGCACCTCCCATCTTTTCTGTGACATACTGAAATAAAGTAAAACAAAAGTTATTTGTTGTACACAAATAGATCGTCACAAATGTCGGTTATACTGGTAAGTTTTCTTAGATACTTTATATGATAATTTCGTGAATATTCTAGAATCAATGTCAAAGGGAAGAGGTTGAAAAGACGTCGTGTATTAACATAACTGGGCTGAACACAGCCACTGAATAATAAAAAAACAGCATAATGATATCCTACATTTCAAATCCGACCTAAAAGATTGTTGAAAAGAAATGTTATAACGAAGTTAAAGCATTAATGGGCTGCATTTTACTGTTAAAACTTTGTACAAAGGATAAACCGCGGAAGTATTGGGTGGGTTACGCGAACAAAAGCCTGGGTCGAGGTCTAGCCTTGGCCGGATTGTGCCCGGTCTGCGTCGCCATCGAAACTGTAATAACGGGGAAAGCTTCTGTTTAAACTACTCACTACAAACGCAATCACTATCTAATAAAGTAACGATTAACGGGTATTCATATTACATTAGACATAACATATCATAACATCACGCCTTTTATCCCTAAAAGGGCAGTCTACCCTTTTGGTGCACATTACGGCACTTAATGCCACTGTACAATGTAACCCTCACTTTTCACTATTTATGATTTATGTTATGAGTTCCATGTAAAAGGAGTGAGCCTATTGCCATACCGGTACATTTCCAGACTCGGTGCTACTACTAAGATTTTTAAAAACCCAGTAATACTTTGCTGTACCCGGGAATCGAACCCGAGACCCCTTTCCCGGCAGTCGCACTTGCGACCACTCGGCTAATGAGGCTGTATTACATTACGAGAAAATAGTATTTTATAATGCCATCATAGTGGAGCCCTTCGGAAGATCGTTAGGTTCCATCGTTCGTGCTACGTTATTTCAAATAGTACTTTCATTAGCTTCTTCTAGAGGTCGAGGTAAAAAAAAAATGTTATATTTCAACAACAAATCAAAGTAAGTATGTAAAACATAAATACTTTCAGAATAAACGTAAATATTATTTTGGATCAAGCAATAATAATATTGATGTTACACATATATTGATAATACAGGAAAAAATATATAAAAAGAATGGAGATTTCAGAGTGATGGAACAGTCTGTAATACTGATGTATTATCAGAGGACCCAAATTCTCCGAATAAAATGTAAACTTCTTTATACTTTAACAGACTATGTCAATGTTAGCTTTAGGCGAAATGATAAACTAAAAATGGATAGTCACATTTCTACGTGAAAAAATATCACTTAAAAAGTTAGGCCATCTTGAAGTTCTTCTGAAGACTTTTTACTTCACGTTGACCCGTAAAATTTATTCGTCTTTAACAATATCTGAATATCGAGAATAAGTTATATAATAATATTATTTTCGCTGTAATAACAACTGAATAAAAAAAATGATCTAAAGCAACTATTGTTTGACTGCATTAATGCTTCTTTTTGATTTCTGATTGACATAATCGTTGGAAGACTATTTAGGACTAGTTACTCCAGGGATAATCGCGTTCAAATGAACTCTTCAACTTAACAAATAGGTTAGACTACGGAAAATTTTAAACATAAAACTCTCATTACGATTCCATTAAAGGCGCCTTAAACTGAATAATATCGTTGTGCAAAGTTTAAGTAGCTAAACATAAGTATACTTAAGGTCCTATTTACAATAGAACGGATGGAAGAAAATGAATTGTAGAGGGCGGGACCTCCTAACAAAGACCTTGTTAGTCGGGACATGATCCTTGTCATGTATCGCGGCCGTCGTAAAAACAGGGACGAACTCATAAACAACGTTTGTGGTTTTACGTCAGAACTTTAAGATAAGCAAAAAATGTTCCCGGAGACGGCTTCCGTCTTGCACAGCGCTAATCATTCACGCAATCTACTTTATGTCTCTACCACATTTTGAGTACTTATTTGTAGTTTATGTAATGTAAAATGCACTCTGTAGCCCCAAGAATAAAGTTGATTATGTGTCAGCAAAATTCCACTAATATTTTTCACATAGGTAGTGGTTAAATACCCGCTGAGGCTTAACAACTATTCCATAACAAACACAACCCCTTATAAAAGATTCTATGCATAAGTAAAGACCACCTTGCCTCCATATATCTTCATTGCCCTGTAGCATCGTGCACTTGACTACGTCGAGGTTAAAAGGAAGGATTGAGGCCACCACTCTCCGATGTACTTAAAGTGACCTCGACTATTACTTCCCAGGTAATATTTGCCTAGTTTTTTCCTTTGTACTCTATTCTCTATTATCTGGAGACGAAGTGTGATAGTAGATAACTTTGTTCAAGAGTAGGAGCATAAGATTTTTGTTTTAATTCAGCACAAAATGTGTTATACAAACTGATGAAGTTTCATAATTGAACAGACACGGCCCGCGGCTCAAGTCGATGTTTCAAAATGCCATTTTATCTAAATTAAAACATATTCAATAAGTATATATTTATATATATATGTCGCAGCGTCAATAATATAAGCGCCGTGTGGATGGCGCTTGTAAACTACGTCGCAGCGTCAGTAATTCAAGTGCCATCTATCGCCTTACATGCTAACTAATTGTTTGGTGTTGGAAGCGTCAAGCGGTATGCTTGGGTGTAGTCGATGCATCGTGGTGACGGGACGGATGGGCGGCTGTCAGTGTCATCTGACAGCTGTCATGTGATTGGAATGGTCCAGTCACTTTTGGAACAGAACGTGACCGCAGACGGTTGATTTTAAGAATAACCAAAGTGAAGTCACCACGTTGCTTCGAATTCACCGCGTTTCCAATTCAAATCATACTACATCGATTCGATCGTGTAATCATATTGTAATCTGTGCCGTGTAGTGATTAAACCAGACGTCATACTACCCTTTGAGACTATTATTCAAGTTTCTCATCATGTCTGACCATTCTGATAGCGAGGGCCTCGAATTACCTTTGTTATATATATATATGTATATGTATATATATATAGTAGAAAAAGAAGAAGATAGATAGATATAGACATAGAAGATAGAAAGATAGAAGAAAGATAGGTAGATTTTAATACTAGCAGTTTTAATGCAGTCAAGCCTCATCGATTAATAACAAACTGTTCATCAAATAAATCGTTCACCTTCAAATAATTATTTTTCGTTCAGGAACTCATTTATTGAGTAGTAGGCCTTTTTTATAAGGTAATCGGATACGACACGTTTGAATTTATTTAAATGAGGTATATTTCGTACGCTACTTGGAATTTTATTGAAGACTTTAGGTGCCATTCCCAAAACACTTTTAGTGAATAATGCGGATTTATGGGTTTTGACTAGGATAGTGTTCTGATGGCGTTTTGAACTTAGAGTTGTGAACAAATGGATGTGCTTTTTTACAAATAGTGCAACTTCATAAATATACAAGCATGGCACTGTCATAATTTCAAGCTTAACAAAATATGGTCGGCAGCTATCAGTCACCTTTATACCTATCTGTACAATTTCCCCAAAATATGATGCCATATCGTAGCGTCGAAGATACATACGCTTGGTAGGCACTAAGAACTGCTTCATGAGAGGCTATTTTACTTAAATTATGTAGAGCGTACTGATATTGATTTAATTTCTTAACTAATTGATCAACGTGATAACTCCATCGTAAATTTCGATCCAACCAGAGTCCTAAGAATTTAGTGTGATCGGTTTCAGTGATAATTTTATTGCAGTATTGGATTTTGAGGTCAATGGAATCAATTCGTTGTTTAAAGAAAATTGTTTGTGCTTTTTTAAGAGTATATGTGTTAAGTTTTATTAGTGGAATTATTATAAGATGTTGATCTCATTAGATATAAGATTTTACAGTTATAACTGTTACTATGAAAATTAATACATTATTCACTTGTCTATTAAAGACACACTTAGGTACTAAAAACTGACTTAAAATTTCATATGACCTTGATTTTTAAATTGACATTCTTGACTTTAATTAACCTTTGTTTCTTTGTATTAATTTAAATAAAATATTATATATTATTATTTGTACGCCAAGTAAGGCGAAACATAGTGTAACTAAACCTGTTATTAACTTATGAACATCCATATAATACCACCTATGTTACAAATAAATAAATGATTATGATATGAAATTTGAACTTGTCTCAGAATTTAAGTTCTTACTTTTGCAAATTTTGAGATATTTCAGTCCTTTATCTCTGCACCTTCGAATTATTGAGAGAGTGACGCCGATAAGTTCCAATATCATAAGAAACTAGCTTCTGCCCGCGACTTCGTACGCGCAATTCCGTTTTCTCTCGATCCCGTAGGATTTTTAGGATTTATTTCTGTCATAAGAACCTTCTCCTGTCAATAACAAACTCAACAAAAAATATTGGCGTCGCCCATGGACACCTGGAACACCAGAGGCGTTACAATTGCGTTACCGGCCTTTTGGGGATTAGGAGTTTGAGGATCGTTGGGGATTCAGGAATTGGGGAGATTGGGAAACGGGAGGGTAATTGGGCCTCCGGTAACTTCACTCACACGACGAAACACAACGCAAGCGTTGCTTCACGTCGATTTTTTGTGAGGCCGTGGTATCACTCCGGTCGAGCCGGCCCATTCGTGCCGAAGCATGGCTCTCCCAGACTTAAACGTGAAGGAAATGAATATATCTTGACCAAGCATTGTTTTGATAAGGATGTTACAATTGTGTATGTATGTGTGTTTTAAAGGTTACAATAATTGTTACAGGTATGTGTCTTCTTATTCTTGGCGATCTTGGAGGGATTCCAATGTGAGTATTCTAATGATTAACGTTATAAAAAACACATCTTTTAACACTAAAAAAAAAACGTCATGCAGTCATAAGATGATGGACCCAAGTTTATTTTATTTGAATGTAATTTTTGTTTGGGACTCTTGCACTGACTGTCTTCTGAACACATCTGAGTGTTAGGCAAAGAGATAGATTATGCTCTGACATAACATTAAAAAATTTGATTCCGATGAAGGCAATCTATTT